GGGAACCGCGTGGAGCCTCCACGTGGCCAGGCAGGCGGGGCCAACAAGGCTGTTCCCACCGTCCCCGCCCCCACTATGCCCCCACAGCCCTTTCCCTTCTGCGGCGGTGACACGCGTTCCCTCTGCAGGGACACCCTTCTCCAGTTTCTTTCCAATTCAGACATCCCCTCACTCCAGTAGACCCTAACAAACCAAGATCACTGTTTTCCTAGTGATTGGGCACCCTGTATTTTTCCCTAATGGCAGCTGATTGTCATTATTGAATTACCGTCTATGCCACTCCAAGAATCCTAAGAACATGTTTCAAGTTTCTTTTACCAGCGGTTCTGAAAGTGTGGCCCCCTTCATGAGCAATTTAGTGTCACCTGGACATTTGTTAGAAAATGCAGTTTCTAATCCAGCATGGTGGTCAAGTCTGTAATGTCAGTGCTTTGGGAGGACCAGGTGGGAGGATCACATGCCCAGGAGTTTGAGGCTGCAGTTGAGTTAGGGTCCCACCACTGCACTACAACTCCAGGGTCCCATCCTAGCCCTGCCAAATCAAGGCCAACCATCTGCTGTTTAAGAATCTGCCCAGGCCAGGCTCAGTGACTCAGCCTGTAATCCCAGCACTTTGGGAGGCTGAAGTGAGTGGATTGCCTGAGCCCGCGGGTTCGTAACCTGCCCAGGCAACTTGGCGAGACCTCATCTCTACTATAAATCAAAAACTAGTCAGGTGTGGTAGCGTGCACCTGTAGTTCCAGCTACTTGGAAGGCTGAGGCGGAAGGATCCCTGGAGCCTAGCAGGTCTAGGCTGCAGAGGCCAGGAGCGTGCCTCCAGCCTGGGTGACAGAGTGAGACTCCCACTCAAAAAAAAAAAGAAATCTATCCAGGTGAGTCTGATACACACGCTCAAGTCTGGAAACTACTTCACGAACGGGGTGCCAGACAGAGGACCCCAGCAAGTATTTGTGACTGAGGGATTTTGTATATCTGTCTCACTTGCTAGCCTGATTAACTGAGTTAGTTTCTTTCTTTTAATACTTGAAGTATAACACAGAAAAGTGCACAAACCCTCAGGGTAACACTGGATAAATTATCACCAACAAATTAACCAGTACAACCCTCATCTGACTCCGGAGATGGTTGAGGTCTCAATTCTGAATCTCCAAAATGGAGCGCCAGGCCTGCCAGCTTGTAGGTTCTGTGAGTTTTAGTGAGGGAATGAAGAGGCAGTTAACTGAAGGGGGCCCCACAGCCAGAGCTGCAGCAGGTTATGAGACTTGTTTGCAGGGAAGTGCCGGACTCTGCTCCCATTTGTCTTTACAGTAGGGGGGACTTTGCTCTAATTCTCTGGAACATTCCTAGTATTCAGAGGTTGGGTTTGTTTGGTGTGAATGTCACTGTTTTGATACAGGTGGTTTCACTCACGACGAGCTGCTGAAGGTGTGGAAAGGTCTGTTTTATTGCATGTGGATGCAGGACAAGCCACTGCTCCAGGTGAGTGCATGAACAGGTGGCAGAAGCAGTATGGGAGGACAGCTGGGCCTATGGTTGGCCCTGTTCTGATATGGCCAGAGATGCCAGGGGAAACTTGAAGCTCAGTGCTTTGTTCTGTATGGCTAGCAGAGTCAGAGACTTTGGTTAGTGTGGGTCTCACACTGGCTGAGGACATTGACAGGTTTGCTGTAGTGCAGGCCATGGCATGGGTGAAAACTGGGTTGCTTTGTGTTGGCCTCATGTTGCAAGCAAGTACTGAAATAATTGAAGCCAAGGGATGGGATCCAAGTCTTCTGAAACTAGGGTTTCTCCTGCTAGCCTTTGTAGGACACTGTTTTTCAAAGTAAATTATTGACCATGCTTCATAATCACCTGGCTGCTGAGGGTACATATTTAAATGCAGATTCCTGGGCCATATTCCCTGGCTTCTGAACTACTGTCACTGAAGGGGGGTTCTGGAATCTTCTCTGTTAGCAAGTGCTTTGGGTGATGCTTGACACAGTGACAGAGGCCCGCAGTGATTTATGGAGATCTGGGTGGCCCCTCCTGCTGGTAGGGTGGCTATGTGTCCCAACGCTCCCTCTGCTCTGTCCCATGTCCCCTTTGACTGTTACCCTTTTGTCAGGAGTATGATGCCTGCCATGGTTTATAGTGAGTCTGTTGGCCCTGGCCGTGTAGGAGGCCTTTTGCAGCAGGGAGAAAATTCGAAAACTTCCTATCTGCTGGGCTGAGATCCACTGTATAGGGTTCTCTGCAACAAGTGATTGACAGACAGTTGTGTGTTTGGCTTGTCATTGTAAGAGCACAGTGCTTTAGGGACTGAGGGCATTTTGGTTGTTTCCTGCACAGGAGGACCTAGGAAAGACAATTTCCCAGCTCATCCACGCTTTCCAGACCACAGAGACACGTGAGTATATCTGCTGTAGCACAGCCATATGCAAATATCAAAATCTTGGCCTCAGAGCCAGCAGACACAGAACGTTTGTGTGCTAGAATCCGGAGTGAGTAACACCTAGGAGCAAGAGAGAGCCAGCTGGTATCTATTAGGTACACAGCACATGTGAAAGTGTTCAGCATGGATTAGCTCGTTTACCCCAAGTAGACTTAGCTTAAGAGTCTTAAACGGCTAATGTCTTATGTTTTGGTTTTTTTTGGTTTTGTTTTGGTTTTTGTTTGTTTGTTTTTTGAGTTGGAGTCTCACTCTGTTGCCCAGACTGGAGTGCAGTGGCCGCTCCCGGCCACCGCAGCCTCCACCTGCTGGGCTCCGGTGATCCTTCCACCTCAGCCTTCCAAGTAACTGGAACTACAGGCGCACGCTACCACGTCCGGCTAATTTTTTGATTTATTGTAGAGATGAGGTCTCGCCTGCCCAGGCGGGTCTCGAACCCACAGGCTCAGGCAGTTCACTCACCTCAGCCTCCCAAAGGCAGGGGATTACAGGCTGAGCCACCGAGCCCGGCTATGTCTTATGTTTTATAATGAAGTTTGTAATTACAGTATAATGTTATCAAGGTATTTGATTGAATTCATCTTATATTGTGAAACTCCTGCAGTTAATTTTTCTAACTCTTCTGTTTTTTATCCTGGCCAAGATGAGTAGTTCTTACCCTGCGTGTCTATTGGAATCCCTTGAGGACTCCCCAAAAATCCTGATGTGCATACCCTGGTCCATTAAACCCAGTTCCAAGGGTGGTGTCTGGGCATCAGCATTTAGACCTCTCCATGCCACCTGGAGAGTAGCCAGGGCTGAGCAGGGTCACTGGTGTAGAGCCACCAGGATTGTGGCTGATGGTGCCCGTGTTTATGTGGATGGGTTTTTGTTCAGTGATGCTACAGTAGGCAAGGAGTCACAGTTAGAGGGAACCTGCAGCTCATTCCAAGGATTCCTTTCTCACTCTGAAGCAGTGTCTTTATTTGTATTTGGAACCTTGTTTCTCTGCATGTGCCCTGGGTTATCTGTTCTCCAAGATTTTTACTTTCCAAGAACTTGCAGTGTAGTTTCTATGCCAGCTCAGTGCCAGGTCTACAGCGTTTACTCAGTCATGCTTGGATGATTCAGTAAACACAGGCCCACCCATGACTGAAGCAGAAACTCTAATAGGAGACTGAGATACTCTTGCTGTGTCCGAGGATCAAGGCATGGACAGGGCGGGTTCCCTGAGGCCTCTCTCCTTGACTTGGAGACATTGACTCCTCCCTGTGTCCTTTCATGGTCCTCCCTCTGTGTGTGCTTGTGTCTCATATCCTCTTATAAAAGGATATCAGTCAGATCGGGTTAGGCCCACCCTAATGGCCTCATTTTACCTTAATTACCTCCATAAAGACCTTGTCTCCAAATATAATCACATTCTGAGGTGTAGGAAGAATTAAAACTTCAACATACAAATTTTAGGGGACACAGTTTACAGCGTAACACCCTGTTTCTGGCATAATAGGGGTTATATGTAGGCTTATGTGCCTGGTTGGATTAGTGGATCTAGTGGGGACAGTGTACAGTTATGCTGCCTAGGTGACGTGTCCTGAGAGGGTAGAAGCAGTGGAGTCTAGGAAAGAAATGGCCCAGCAGTGCTTCTCTGGCTGGCAGCTTTGTTCCCTCTTTGCGCCTATACTCAGAGTGTGGCTGCAGTTGGGGTGTAGCTGTAATTTCTTTCTGAGGTACCTGGTAGCCCTGTTTTCAGTGAAATTAACAGTCTCACTTCTCAGATCAGCTGACTCTGGGACTGAGTCCCAGAGTGACATGGGAGGGACTTCCTGATCAGGTTCCTTCCTTTCTCACCTCTCCTTTCAAGGTGGCGTCTGTGCTCCTCAGGGGCTGTCTCTGGTGTTGATATTGGGCTTCTTCCTCCTGCAGAGCACCTGTTCCTTCGGACGTTCTGGCAAACCATGAGCCGTGAGTGGACGGGCATAGACAGACTACGCCTGGACAAGTTCTACATGGTGAGGCCACCACGAGGGCCTGGTGGCTCATGTGGATTTGTGAGCAAAGGGGTTCTCATGGAAGGCTGCTTTACTGTGATGGGTCCTTTTATGTGATGAATTCTTGTTTTTTAAGGCCTGTTTCCCATTTCCTCCTTATGTGGTCAAGTCCAGCAGTAAGGCCTCATGTAAGGGCTGACCTTGTGACACTGCAGGGAATCATGTGGACAGGCCTCCCATGTCCCCAAGAATGGCATCCTGGCTGCCTGAGTGTGCTCTGTCACCAAGGCCCCTGGGCATCTTTTGTGTGTCTTTTGTAGCTTTTTGCCATGACTCAGACCCTCCGTGGTATGTGGTATGAACATCCTGAAGGTGGGAAGCCTGCAGCAACATGTTGAGCCAGTGTGCAGGGGAAATGGGGAGTGGGCAAGTGTTGGGGCTTCATTCACAGATGGGGTTAGTGGGAGAGTCTCTTCTGCACAGCAGACCAGAAGGGAAGTAAGCTGTGGTCTCTTCTCATGGGACACACCCTGGAAGAGCTCAGAGAGGATGGACCAGGTTTCAGACCCGGTTGCTGAGGGCGCACCTCCCTGGGGCACCTGTGCTGCTTTTTCAGTTCTCAATTCTGAAGCCAGGACTGCTCTACATGCCCAGCGTGTGGCCTTACCCTCAAGTGGCTCCCAGTCCATGGTGGAAGTGAAGTCTGGGTTGTGCTTCCAATAACAGGTCTCCTTTTATACCCAAGCTCATGCGTATGGTCCTGAATGAGTCCTTGAAGGTCGTGAAGATGCATGGCTGGGAAGAAAGGTTGGTACACAGGTGGTTCTCTTGCTTGGGCAAGTCTGGGGGTGACTGTTCTTGGGGGCATTGCAGTCACATGCTTCCCTTTTAATTATTTGTCATAAAGGGGTTCTGGACTTCATATTCAAGGGGGCCCCAGTGATGCTTCAAGTAAAGGTGGTTTTTTTAAATTAAGATTTGCTCATGTGCTCCTGGAAATGATAACGTACGTTCTCAGCAGGTAACTTCTTAACTGGGAATCAGAATTGAGTCCTCTAATGGAAGGATGTCCAACTGAAGGAGCTTTTGTGGACATAGTGTGTTCAGCTCTGCTCTCAATGGAAATTGCTCTGATTCTGAAAATATTCAGATCGTCCAGACTTCTCACTCGTCCAGTGATTAGGGTGGATGATCTCTGTGTAGTGAGGTGATCTGTGTCTCCCAAGCTGACATTAGTCAGCTTGATACTAAGCTGTGAGTTGGTCTCCTGCCCCTGCAGATGTTTCTGATTCTGCACTGCCTGGTCTCAGCTTCTGCTCCCACCTCCTCCCGGGGACCCCCAGAGGTAGAGGTCTAACCTCTAGCGGCCGACTAGGGTCACCTGAGGCTCTTCACTCAAGTTAGGGGAGTAGGTTTCCAGACCTTAAAGGGGAGGTCTGAGTTCCACAACACAAAGTTGATTTCTGAGTGTTAACATTTTAAACATTAAAACATTCATTTAAAATACTTTTTATCATTTTATTTTATTTTTGGGGGTTGGAGTCTCAATCTGTCACCCAGGTTGTGGTGCAGTGGCACAGTCACAGCTCACCACAGCCTCCTGAGTAGCTGGAACTACAGGTGTGCGCTACCACACCTGGCTAATGTTCTGATTTTTTTGTAGAGACGAGGTCTTGCTATGTTGCCTGGGCTGGTCTTGAACTCCTGGACTCAAGCAATCCTCCTGCCTCATCCTCCCAATGTCTTGAGATTACAGATGTGAGCTGTTTTGCCTGACCTAAAATATTTTTAATTTTTAATATTTTTTTTCTAATTATAAGTATTGTATACTCTTTTAATACTTGTGATAAAAACTGGAAGCTTTTATGAAACATTAAAAAGTAACTTTACCTCCAGTGGTTAATTAAAATGTCACATATAACAACTATGCAGGCATCTTCTGGGTGTGTTTACAAAAATGGCATATTAAATGTACAGACTGCTTTTTTAGTTTGCTGAGGGTGCATCAAAGACGTCATCTGCCAGTGATCTGCTTCTGCATGATTCATTTTTTTCTCCCCTGGGAGAGTGTCTTAGATAAAAGTATACTTGGGATTGATTTGTAATGTAGAAGTGTCTGTTAAAGGTGTGGATCTTGGTGGGGGAGAGGTACAAATAAATAAATAAAGGCGTGGATCTTGAATATATGAAGACAGAAACTATGACGCAGATATCAGAATAGCTGTTAGACCAGAGAATACAGCTTACAATCCAAGTTAGTGCAGGACTTTCTTATCTTCAGGATTATAAAGCTAATAAATTCTTGCCTTGGTCCACCTTATTTCTTCCCTTTAAAAAATAATCAGGATTTGGACTATTGTTGGAATTTCTCTAGGTTTGAATTACTGTGGGTGATTTTCCATTTGGGACAGCAGAGCCTCTGGTTTGGAGGTGTTTTCATTCTTAGTTCCCTGGAAGGACTGTGAGGACAGGAATCTCTTACTCATCTTGGTACGTGGTACTGTGGGTAGCCTTGTAGGATCTAGTGATATAAGCCAAATTAAATGTTAAAGTGATGATTTTATTTCAACTTTCTGGGCCTATTAGAAATTGGTGACTTCCCTCATTGCCCTTGGTAGCTAGTGCTGACAGTTTGATCTGTTCTTCTAGCCTTTTTCTCAGTTTTCCTGCAAACATAACTAGGTTTTTTTTGTTGTTTTATTTTGGTTTTTTTAATGTTTGATGGTATTCTCACTGTCCTGGGGAGTAGGTCTCTTGCATCTGGGTGTCTTCCTCTTGGTTTTGTACCCAACCATGCCTCTGTCTCCTTTTTCCTGAACCTTATAGAGCATCATCTTCCATAACCAGCGAATTTCAAACTTTATTATGCCCCCGAACCATCTAGAGAACTTCTTAAAGAAGCTACGGGTCAGGGTGTGGGGTCTGTATTGCCAAGCACAAGACTTTCAGAACCATCTAGACTGCTAACACCTGTTATCTGGGGCTCTGAGCCCTTCAACCCCACATGCCAGTAATAGGTCTGGTATGCACGTGTCATATAGATGGATGCTCGACAGGGCCTGGGAAGCCAGCAAGTGGCTTGCGGTCCTCAGCCCCTTTCTGGGCCTGCATCTTCCTTTGTTTGCTTATGCTCCGTCCTGATGCACCTTCCTAATTGGAACCCAGTGGGAACAGCAGAGAGGAACACTGGGCACTGTGAGGGTAAAATTGTGTTTCTGCCAAGTCTTTTTCCCTCCACTAGCAGTCTTGAGACCAGAGAAAGGTCTGTTTTAACGTTGAAAGCATTGCCTTTTGTAGCTATTCTGGTGCTGATGATGGTCACGTAAATCCATAATTGCAAGGCTGCTCTGTGCTGGAAAACCAGGATCATTGACCTTCACCCGTGTGCACATGAAAGCTGGCATGTTCACAGACAGTGCCTCCTGCCTGCACCTGTGTTCCCATCAGAGCTTATAGCTCAGGGAGAGAGAGAACACGCTGGCATGGGGCAATCCTAGGCAGGAGAGGACACACTGACCTGGGGCTCATCCTTGGGGAGAGAGAACACACTGACCTGGGCCTCATCCTGGGAGGGAGAGGACATGCTGATCTGGGGTTCATCCTCAGGGGGAGAGGACATGCTGATCTGGGGCTTGTCCTGAGGGGGCTCGTCCTGGAGGGGACAGGATATGCTGACCTAGGGCTCTTCCTGGGGAAGAGAGAGCACGCTGACCTGGGGCTCGTCCTGGTGGGGGAGAGAACATGCTGACCTGGGGCTCATCCTCTGGGGGGTGGGGGTAGAGAGAACACGGTGACCCAGGATTCATCCTGGGAGAGAAAACACACTAACCTAGGGCTTGTCCTAGGGGAGAGAAAACACACTGATCCGGGGCTCATCCTTGGGGGAAGAGAACACACTGAACTGGGGCTCATTCTGGGGGAAAGGGCATGCTGACCCAGGGTTTGTCCTGGCCGCCTGCATATTTTCTTTTCTTTCTTCAGACAGATTGAGCAGCTGCTGGAGCTGCTCATGACTGAGATCCTGCACCCCAGCAGCCAGGTCCCGCATGGGGTGAAGAGCCACTTCATCGAGATCTTCCTGGAGGAGCTGACCAAAGTGGGTGCTGAAGAGGTGAGGCTGGGTCCAACTGGTCTGGGCTCATCACTGAGTGTTCCTGGACAAGGACCTGAGGCTCCTGTTTCCTTCCCTGTAGCTGACAGCAGACCAGAACCTCAAATTCATCGAGCCCTTCTGTAGAATTGCTGCCCAGACCAAGGAGTAAGTGGCAGGTGGCCTGGTCGGGCCTGTGTTCTCCCAGCAGCTGCTTCCTCGGGGTGCTGCTTCTCTAGGGCAGAGCTGTACTGTGCCGATGCCATCAGCAGCAGAGACTGCTGGCTGTGTGGGTATGGGGATGGGCAGGTGAATCAGCGACTGCTGTCTGAGAGTAGAGCCTAACAGACTCTTGCTGGCCCCTGCTCTGGCCCTCAGTTCCCGGGTTTTGCATAACATCACTCGAGGCATCTTTGAAACAATTGTGGAGCAGGCACCACTAGCTATTGAAGACCTTATGAATGAACTGGAAGCACAAGATGAGGAGACGGATGGTGATGGTGAGGCCTCAGAGCAGGACAGTGACGATGAATCCTTGGAGCAGAACGGTGAGTCCTTGGAGGGTGGTAAGCTGGTAAGCAAGACCTGCTGTCCAAGAAGGTGTCTGACGCCGCCTGCAGTTAGGATCACAAACGTCCAGTCTGCAGGCGTCTTGCCACCTCCTTGGTGCCTGTCCTGGGCTACTCCCCTGTACTTTCTTGCTGCATGCCTCCAGCCACCTCTTGCCTGCTCCCTCATCTCTGCCCTCACCTGAGCCCATTCTCAGCAGAGTGACCCAAGTGATCTTTATATGCACAAGGCACATGTCGTTGGCTATGCTCACAGCCTCTGCAGGGTGTGTTCAGAGCCCTGTCCTGCCTCCCTGGCCCCTGTGCTAACCCTCCATGCTTTCACACAGTCAACTCTGGATTTGTTCCTGCCTCAGTGCTGGGGTGCTCCCTCCCCTTGGGGCTCTGTCTTCTTACTTGGGCTGCACTGACCACCCTCTTGAAAGTCCAGCCTCTCCAGCTTCCCATGTCGCCTATCACTTGCTGGCGTGGGACATAATCACTTGCTCCTTGTGTTCCGCACTCCTGACCTGTGCCCCCAAGGACAGGAGCTCTGTATTGATCCTGGCTGGGTTCAGTGCCGAGAGCAGTGCCTGCCTGTTGTGGGGTGAGAGGATGAATGGAGGGAGCACATGCTTGTAGTCAGCCTGTTGCAGGGCTTTGGGGCAGGACCCACAGTGCTCTGGCAGTGATGACATCCAGCCAGCTAGTCCAGTCTTGATGCTGCAGTTATTATGTGCACTGGGTGGTCCCGGATCTAAGCATCGCGTCCTGGTGCTATAGATTTCAGTGCCATTGCTGGGGGCTGAGCGGGGAGCTTGGCTTCCCTGTTAGTCAGGAGACGCTCCATCCACCCACAGCACTTTGACTGTCCTGTGTGTATCTTCTCTGCCCCTCACTTGCCTTCTCGCCCTCAGTTGCCACATCACCCAAGAATCTCCTGCTAGCCCACTGGCCACCCCCTCTAGAGCAGGCCCCAGGCCCACAGTTGTCCTTTTCATCAGGTATTTTCTCCCAGCTGCCTGTGACCCAGTACCTTTTTTCTATGGTCAGTGCTGCCAGTGCCCCAAATACCCAACCCAGCTCAAGTACCCCTACCAAAGCATCAATTCCCACAGCACTGAGCCATGCTTGCCTGTGGCTAGACATGGCTGCCCTTCCTTCTGGGGCTTCTGCTATGGCCCCTGCTCCCAAGATGCCCACTCTTGGTCACTCTCTAGGGGGTTGGGCGGGTGCCACCACCCTGGGATGTTTTCCCTCATACCAAAGCACGAGGTGGCACCAGCCCCTACCATGCGAGACCATGTGGTGCCTAGGAGCTCACTTGAGCTGTGGGCTTTCCCCAACGTGGACCTGTGCTCTGGCCCTGCATGCAGAGTGGGTTCCTGGCTTCTGGGTGTCTGTGCTGGGGCCCTGCACACCCCAGATACGGTTCTTGGCGTTCATGAGGTCTCTTTCCTTGTAGGCTCTATTCACAGGGCTGAACCTGAGGCATACCAGGAGCTATCAGGAGATGATAGGGACGGTCCTGGCCCTGTCCTCCAGGTGGGTGGCCTGGCTAGTGACTGCCCCCAGCTTTTGCCCTCCTATTCCACTGCTGACTCTGAGGGGGCAGGGGTGTCAGAAGGGAGGATGACAGCTGCTGACTTGGAAATGAAGCTTCACAGAGGTCGTTGGGGAGGGACAAAGCCCAGGCCTTGCTGGTCTGTGAGAGAGTAGAGTCACTGAGAGTGGAACCTGGGGTCGTGCTTGGGAGGGTGAGCACAAAGGTAAATGCACGCTCTCCAGGGCCAGCTTCCTGTGCCTGTTCTCTTGCAACACACAAATGGGCAGCCCCAGGTCTGCTACCCCTCACTGGGGTATTGAGCGGTCAGTCTGTGGGCCCAGCTTGGTGTCACTTCAGCCAGGGGCCTATGACTCGAGGCATGTGGGGAACACAAAGTGCCTTAACAAGTCTTAAGTGTTACTACTTGGGGAATTAGTAGAATCTGGATATCTTAGATTAAAGAAAGCTCATCAAATCAGCTTGTTCTATGTGCCCGTCTCAATGTAGCTTCTAGAGACTGAACGTGATAATGAACTGGGTGTAGTGCTCTCACTAATCTCTGTGGGCAAGGCTGTCCCAAAGTGTGTGCAACACCTGCAGTGCTGTAGATGGTGGGCAGTGCCTGCCGAGCTGTAAATGGCGGCACCTGCTATGCCATAGATTGTGGGCACTGGCTGCAGGGTGTTGCAGTGACACTGAGGTGTGTTCTGTGAACTGTGTGGAGGAACCGCTTGGTGCCAGCATGCTGCTGGTGGCTGACTTCGTCTCCCGGTATCTCTCTTGGAACAGTTTGACTATGAGGCAGTTGCTAACAGACTGTTCGCCGTGGCCAGTCAACAGAGCACCCCTTCTCTGAACAGGAAGCGTCTCTACAAAGTGATCCGAAAGTAAGTGTCTCTGAGGGTGACTAGCACTAGCCATCTCGCTGCCCTTGGAGTTGCCCTTGGGTTCCTTAGTTTCAGGCACCCTCGCCTTGTCCCAGTCCTCCTGTGAAGTGGCCTCAGCCAAGCGGAAGGGCTTCAGAGTTCTCTCAGGAAAGCGTCTTACCATGGGCATTGTATTGCAAGGTCCTCTGCAGCCCCCAGAGTCCCCCTGGCTAGGATTCTGCAGTCGCCAGGTTCCCCCCTAGCTAGGATTCTGAAAATCTCTCTGCAGTCCCCAGGGTACCCCTGACTGGGATTCTGAAGGTTCCTCTGCAGCCCTAAAGTTCCCCTTCACAGAATTCTGAAGGTCGCTCTGGGTACATCCTCCTTCCTGATGCAGAAACCACGACTGTGGTAAATGGGTGTCTATCTTGTTCTTTCAGGTTGCAGGACCTGGCAGGAGGTGAGAACTGAGCTGGGCCACCACCTTGGAAGACTTCTGTTCTCTTGGGAACACTGGAGGACAGTTTCCTTGCAGGATACCTGGGGGTGTTTCTAGGGGAGAGGAAGGTGGGCTCAGGGATCCCACAGCTCTCCTTCTATAGTTGTTGCTGGGTGGGTCTCAGACTTGTGCATCTGTTGGAGCCCCTGGGGCCCGTCAAATGGGTGCTGGTCCTGGGAGCTCACAAGAAGTTGATGGTGGTGCTGCTGCCAGTCTGTCATTCCCACTTGACGGCATGTGATTGGTGGAATGGCATAAGGTAGCTGAGGGACAGTTTCCCGGGAGGCTATGGTTGGAGATGGAAGCCCTTCCCACCATTTCATGATGGAAAGTCTCAGATGTAGTGCACAGGTGATTGGGCTGTAGTGGACACTTGCACGTCCACTACCTAATCCTGTCCTCAGCATCTTACATCCTTGTGTTACTTGTCTGCCTGTCCAACATCTCTCTATTCTTGTGCCAGACCACATGCATTGTGTGCTCCAGCACGCACATCTCTCACATCCAGGATCTGTGTGTCACAGACATGTCCTGAAGGGCATGGACACTGGGTTTGGCCAGCACAAAAGCCCTTGTCACCCAAACCTTTGTCAAGATGCAGAGTGCTACCAATGCCCAGAAAGTTCCTTCGTGCTCCTTCCCAACATGAGTATTGTAAGGAAGTAGACCTTGCTGTGCAGGTTGAGTATCCCTCCTGCAAGCCCCAAGTCCGAAATGCTACAGCATCCAGAACTTGCTGAATGCTGATGTGACACTCAAAGGAAATGCTCATTAGAGCATTTCAGACATCGGGTGTGCAGATGAGGGCTGTTGAATTGATAAGTCTAATGCAGATATTCCAAAATCTGAAGAAACTGCAACACCTCTGTCCAGGCGTGTTGGATAAGGGGCACCTCCACCACTTGTGTGGAAGGCTCAGCCTTTCCATTGTGTAGCTTTGAGCTGGATGGTCCCAGCTGGGCTTTTTTGCTGCCCAAGTTGCTCCCTGGGATTAGAAGAGGCCTCCTTAGGGCTGGGCTCACGCCTATAATCCCAGCACTTTGGGAGGCCGAGGTGATAGGATTGCCTGAGCCCACAGGTTTAAGACCAGTCTGGGCAACTTGGCAAGACCTCATCTCTACATTAAATTAAAAAAAAAAATTTAGCCAAGTATAGTGGCATGTGCCTGTAATTCCAGCTACTTGGAAGGCTGAGATCACCTGAGCCCAGCAGGTTGAGGCTGCGGTGGCCATGAATGTGCCACTGTACTCCAGCCTGGGTGACAGTGAGACTCCAACTCAAAAAAAAAAAAAAAAAAAAAAGAGAACAGGCCTCCTTGTATACTTGTGTGAAGTGATAGTTGCTGGACCTGTGGAAAGCTTTGAACTGCAGTACAGCAGCAGCCTCCGGCCCTCCTGGATCTTCTGTCTGTCTGGTTCTAGGTGTTTTTCCTGAGGAGGAGATGCCGGAAGAAGCCTACAGGAATCTCCTGCAAGGGCGGAGGGAGAGGAAGGTGAAGCGGCGTGTGCGCAGATCACAGTTGCAGCGCAAGGAAGGTGGGAGTTGGAGCATTTACTCACTGGGAAGGGGCTTTCCTCGCCTGTTTGTCTCCCTTGTGCTTGGTCACCTGTGACGTCTGTCCCCGAGGTGCAAGTCCTGAGTCCTGTCCAGGGTGCCACTGTCCATGCATCCTGGAGATTCTTTGGTGGTCACAGTCTCAGGGCATCTGGTCTGTAGACACTCCCATCCTCCCCACCTTCCTTATCTATAGCTCCTGCTGTCTGTGTGCTGCTCTGCAGATGTGGTGACCCTTCTCTGGGCTGGGCTGCCTCGTCCTGACCTTCCTCTTTCATCCAAGTCCCATCCCTCCTCTTCTGCATCCTCCAGGGATCCCCAAGCCATGTCATTCAATTGATTTCAGGGGCTATCTTACCCTGGCCAGCTGCAGAACACCCAGGGCCACCTGGCTGCGGCAGAGAGGGCTGTGCACGGTGCCGGGCAGGGTGCAGGGGCACATTGCTAAAACGGAGTTTGGAGGAGGGAGAGGGTGGCTCTACCCTAAGCTGGGAAGCCTTCCATGTCATCCCTTCTATGCTCAACCAACCCTGGGAGTCTGCCCTTTGAAGGGTCATTGGATTCACCCCAGGCCATTAATAATGGCCTATCTGCTTTCATTGCCCAGCTGGGCAGCAGCCTCTCTTCAACTGCCCTTGCAACCTGGCTCATGCTTTCAGGTCTAACAGCCTTTGTGGCTCCTTCTTGCAAAGCAAGTTGAGTGAAAGTGCTGGCCTGGGCTCAGGGCTGACCCTTCCTGCCTAGTGCACTCCTCCAACCCACCTCCCTGTGCCAGACCTAGTCCCACTCCCTCTTTCCTCTCTTTGCTCTTAAATTCTGTCCTCACACTGGTCTTCCTGAAGGCCGGACTTCTGAGGTCAGCTTTCCTTGGTGTCATGAACTAGCATAGACAGAGTTTGATGTCCACACTGAACATGGGGTCCCCCTGCTTGGCTTTCAGGCTGTTACCCTTCTGTGCCCCTGGTGCTGCTGTCTTCAGTCACAGAATTAGAGGGAGTGAAATGAGCCCATGTGATCACAGCATGGGCTTATGCGGCCACTCTCTTTTTTCAGGGAAAAGTGAAAAGGAAGACTCGAGCCCCAGCCGGAGCTCAGGACCTGAGAGGAAGAGGAGGAGGGGCATGGGGGCTGACCCCAAGGAAAAGCAGCCCAAGAGCCGTGGCCGGAGAGGAATTCGTCAGAGGAGGAGGCAGCCTCGGCAACCAACCTGGGCCAGAACAAAGGCAGCTAATGTCCAGGAGCCAGCCAAGAAAAAGAAAAGGAGCCTGGAAAGCGGGAAATGACACAGCTGGGCCCAGGACAGGCAGAGAGGCTGTGCTCGCACTGCTGCTTCCTGTTGGCACCAAGGGGCAGGGTGATGGGGCTGTTCCTGGGGAGTCAGTACCCGGGTCCTGCACTGACTGTCAGGAAGGAGGCAGGGACAGGCCTGGGAGGGTGGGTTCTGCGGTAGTTTTGGCATCCTGGGAAATGCTGCTTTCTCCAGAGAGCAACTGTGAAGACCCTGGATCAGATCAAAGTCCAAAGACTTGAAACTTCCCCTTGCACCAGGACTGGTCCCCTGTGCTGCAGGGTGTCCATAAAATAAAATGCCGCACTGTCCTTTCCAGGAAAGTTGCTCCTGGCGTGTTTGTGCACATGGGCTCCTGGTGGGAAATGGCAGGTGCAGCCTCTGAGCAGCGTTTGTGGTTTTGTCTGTTTTCTTGGGAAAATCCATTGATGCTTTTCTCAGAAGTCAGGTAGAAGAACCTTTAGTACTGAGGAGTGTCTGGGCAGGGCTTTGCTTTCCACTCATGTACTTGGCTCTGGAGACGTTTGGTAATTTCATGCCTGTGTGAGATCCCTACTGCCTGTGGCAGGAAGCTGAGCTCCTCACAAGAACCCCTTCCTGACACTCAACATTCAGGTTCACATTCAGTTTCAGCCCTGCTACTTGCTCTGGAGGGACCGAGGCAGCTACAGACTGGCTGTCGCCTGTGCAGGGTTCGCAGGTCCCCACTGTGGAGATGGAGACTGCAGAGCGGGGAGACCTGACGCAGTACCCCTGGGTTCCCGGGGGCTCCTACCTATATGGAGCAAGAAGAGCCCCGGCCTCCCCCAACAGTCAGCACTGTGACAGTGAGCTGCAGGTGATAGGGACACTGTCTTGGGTGTAGCCAATGTGATGTGACCACAGGTATTCCCAGCCAGTGGGCCATGCTGGATTGAGACTTGTGGGCTTGTAGTGGACTCAGGAATGCCAGTGAGCATCTGGCGATCATTGGGTAGATGTTGGAAATTGTGTGCAAGTGTGTCCCCACACAGAGGGTCAGCACATGCAGGGTGTCTCTCAGGCCTACTTAACTGGATGCCCAGGACAGGCATGGAGAGAGGTTATGGGCTGGGTCACCTGCTGGAGAGGTTATGGTTCTTTCTCCAAAGTGACTTAACACAACTTGTCCAGCACAAACTGCTGGTGGCAAGAGTCAGGCCTGGGGACAAGCCTGACCTTTTCATCCCCAGCAAGGGGCCCAGGGAAGGGGCTGCTACTGTTAGCACCATGGGGAGGGGTAAGTGGGATAATGCTTTGTTTTTGTTGATTTTTTTGGGTCAAAATGTAAGCAACCAACCATGCTATAGAAATTTCTAGAAAAACATAAACTAGTCATGCCAAATTGCAGTGGGGTTTTTGTTTTTGTTTTTGAGTTGAATTTTAATCTGTCACCCAGGCGTGCAGTGGCACAATCACAGCTCACCACAGCTTTGACCTCCTGGACTCAGGTGATCCGCTGGCCTCAGCCTCCTGAATAGCTGGGACTACAGGCGTATGCCACTATGCCTGGCTAATTTTTTGACTTTTTTGTAGAGACGAGGTCTCACTGTGTTGCCCAGGCTGGTCTTGAACTCCTCGGCTCAAGCAATCCTCCCACATTGGCCTCCCAAAATGCTGGGATTACAGGTATGAGCCACTGCACCTGGCCCATAATTGCAGTTCTTAAACCAGAAACCACAATGGCTTTTGCTTTTATATTTTTGTGCAAAAGGAGAGGTTTTCCACAGCCATGTCAGCACCATTGTTCTGTCTTACTGTTTTTCAGGTCGTGCTATGTACACATCCCTGTGGCTTTAGATAACTGCACTATGCTCATGACATGCGTTACTGAATCTTTCCTGTTGGTGTGCATATAGGTGTCTTTATTTTTATTTATTTATTTTTAGCGTTTTACTCAGTCTCCCAGGCTGGAGTGCAGTGACATACTCATGACCACTACAGCCTCGACCTGCCGGGCTTAGGGTATCCTTCCACCTCAGCCTTGAAGTAACTGGAACTACAGCCATGTGCCACCACACCTGGCTAATTTTTTGATTTATTGTAGACATGAAATCTTGCTATGTTGCCCAGGCTGGTCTCAAACTCTTGGGCTCTGGCAATCTTCTCGCCTCTGCCTCCCAAAGTGCTGGGATTATATGCATGAGTCTCTGCACCCGGCCTGGTCCTTTTATTTTTTAGAGACAGGACGTTGCTCTGTAGCCAATGCTGAGTACAGTGGGATGATTATGGCTCACTGCAGCATTGATATCTTGGGTTCAAGTGATCCTCCTGCCTTGGGCTCCTGAGTAGCTGGCACTACAGGCACGTGCTATCATCTTGCTGCAGATTATTGATCATAGTTGCTCTTGTTTCTGATTGTCAACATCTCTTCCATCAGGAAGCACTGTCATTGGGCAAAATAACGAAACCCTCAAGAAAGGTGTAAATGGCCACCAATCATTGTACCACAGGAGAGGTTGTGTGTACATGTTGGCATCATTTCTGTTTCCCCATATAAATGGGTCTATTGAGAGATAATTCATATATTTTATTATTTATTTTTTTAATTTTTTAATCTTTTGTAGAGGTGAGATCTCACTATGTTGTCTGGGTTGGTCTCAAACTCCTGGGCTCAAGGAATCCTCCCATTTCTGCCTCCCAGTGCTGTGATTATAGGCGTGAGCCACCATGTCTGGCTGAGATAATACATACGTTGTACAGTTCACCCATTTAAAGTGTATAGTTTTTAGTGTATTCAAAGTTGTGCAACCATCACCACAGTCAATTTTAGAACAGTTTCACCCCAGAAAAAACCAGGCATCCCACCTTCAACTCTGTCCATCCCACTAATCTCCATTTTGTCTCCACCGTTTTTCCGTGTTCTGGACATTCCATAAACAGAATCAGGACATGCAGCTTTCTGTACCAGGCTTTTCTCAGTGTGTTTTCAGGGCTCATCTGTGATGGCGTGTGTCAGTGCTTCCCTATTTGTTACGGTCAGTTACCATTCCACTGTGGACCCGCTTTGTATCTCTGTCTGTCCAACACCAGGCATGGGGTGTTTGTACCTTTGGCTGTTGTGCCATGCTGCAGATAGCACATGCTTTTGTGTGCACGTGCATTTTCTCTCCTTGGGTGATGCCTGGGCGTGCGTTGCTGGGCCATCTGGTAGCTCTGTGTTTAGTCTTTTTTTCAGAGGACTAATCCCACAGTGGCTACTCCTTTATGTGACCTGTCTGGTGGTTTCCTGCTCACAGTGTGGCTTCAGGGGGTGCTCACAGGGCTGCCTCGCCCATAGCCTGTGACATGGCTGCCTTGCTGCAACCACCGGGCAGTGGGAGTGGGTTGTGATGGCCCAGCAAATCCCTCTGCTTGAAGCTGCGGGGACCCCTCCTGACCCCCATGTGGGGCAGCTCACACCCCAGGAGGCCCTCCCTGGCTGCACCCAGTCCCACTGCCAGGCTGATGGGTCCCCAGGAGGTGTCTCTCTTTAGGAGATTTGTCTCAGCCACTTTATAAATATGTAACCTTAGGCAGGAAACACCTGCTCTGAGCCTACTCTTACCTGCCTATGAAATGGGAATAACAGCACAGGGCTGTGATAAGGATTACATTACTTCTTCCCCCCAAAACAATCTCAGACTCACAGAAACGTTGCTTATACCAAGAGCATCTCTTCCTCAAGCCATGTGGGAGCACATGCTGACTTGGTGCCTCCACTACCCCGAATACTTGAGGGTGTGTTTCCTGCTACATACATTCTCTTAGCCACAGTACAACAGTCATATGAGGAAATTAGAGCCAGGTGCAGTGGGACATGCCTATACTCAGCAGGCCTAGACCAGAGGGTCACTTGAGCCCAGGAGTTCAAGACCAACCTGGGCAACATAACGAGAATATGCCTCAGAAAAGAGAAAGGAAAAGTAACAGAATATTGGTGTGGAAACCTTGCTGTGTCTAACCCCCAGACCCTCACGGCCTTAGTTGTCGGTGATGTCCTATACAGCCACAGGACCCTGTTCAGAGTCTCTGGTCGTTTCTCCAAAGAGATCTGGTTTCTTTGGGTGGAGGGTGGTGTTTAGAAGCCATGATCTGACTGGGTCATTGCTGTTCAGATGTCCTTGCTCACAGGTACCCTCTGTTAACAGCTGCGGAAGTATGCAGGTATACAAACACAGGACATACACATCTACCTGCCCATCTCGCCCACCTATCATCCACTCATCTACCTGCCTAGACCAGGGATCTCTAGAGAAACAGAAGACTTGCTTCTCACGGTTCTGGAAGCAAGTCTTGTCAGGGTTGGCTTCTCCTGGGTCTCTCCTTGGCTTGTAGATGGCCACCTTCTCACAGTGTGTCTGTTCTGACCTCTTAAAAGGACACCAGCATGTTTGGGCTAGTGCCCCTCCCCCCACATGAACTCAACTTAACCTCAGTTACCTCCTTGTGGGCCCTGTCTCCAAATAGTCATGCTGGGTATGAGGGCTTCTGCGTATGAACTAGGGAGTGGGAAGGGATAGTCCAGTCCATAACAGGTGTGTGTGTGTGTGTGTGTGTGTGTGTGTGTGTGTGTGTGTGTGTGTGTTATGGATTGGACTTACACAAAGAGAGAGAGAGCATGAGAGAGAAAGACAACACATACGAGAGAACCACTCATCTGAAGGAATGGGCCTGCATGCGGCAGGCCTGGCAGGTCTGAATTCTGCAGGGCAGGCTGCAGCCTGGAGACCCCGGAAGAGTTGATGTTGCAGCTCAAGGCTGAAGTCTGGAGACAAAACTCCTTCCTAGTCTTTTTGCTTAAGGCCTTCAACTGCTTGGGTGAGGCCCATGCACATGGGAGGAGTCATCCGCTTTACTCAGTCTACTGATTTAATGTTAATCTCAAAAATACATTCTCAGAAACATCTGGGTGTCTGACCAAAAACTGGATACCATGGCCCTGCCATGGTGATGCAGAATTAGCCATCACACCATCTTTTATCTGTCCCCTCCCGCATCAACTTATGAGTTGGCCTCCATGGGGGACGATGCCCCCAGCTGTCATCTGACACCAGGGGTTACTCTAGTTTTTTTCCTTTCCATATTTGTACCTCCTTTTATAACAGAAACCTGGTTTCTTTGCCCTGATATAAATTTCACATAGGTCCATGTGCCTAGCCATGGTCAGGCGCTGGCAGCAGGCCTATAGCTGCAGTCTGAGTCTAAAGACCTGATACATCTCTGATGGGAGCCTTTTTCCCAGGTGGACTTTTCTGCCACAAGAGAACGGCCCAGCAGTGAACCCCGTGTGAGCCACTTGGTGGTTGTACTGCATGGCTCACTTACCCTGTCAATGGAGCTGGTTTGGTTTCCTGAACCAGATCTGGCTGGAAGGAACTGGCACAGACAAT